TAAAAAACCCCCCTAAGTCCCAGATCAATTTTCTCTTTTCTGTTCAGCGTTGAAACTTTTTTATGTTTTTTAGTGTTCCCTCACACAATTCCAAAGCCAACACTCGAATGAAATCAAGTCCACGTTGAAATTTTCACAACGAGAAAAAATTACTGGGACTTAGTTAAAATATTTAACTTTGCCCCAATAAATTTTCTCGTTGTGAAATATTCAATGTGAGCTCATTCATTCGAATGTTGGCTTTGGGATAATACAGCATGCATAAATAACTCGTCTGTCTTAATTGAAAAGGTTTCAGAAAATTTGGACTTAGAAAAAAAAATTATCTGAAAGGACTTAGAAAAAAAAAAATTATTCGAAAGAATTATAATCAGAAAATTTAGACTTAGAAAAAAAAAAAAATTTCGAGAGAATTATTTAATTAATCGATGAAATGAAATGATATTAATCGAATCAAAATTGTTTATACGACTTGATAAAACATTTGAAACCTTTACAATTAATCGAGACAAAAACAAATTTAGTTGACTTGAATAATATACAAATTATTAGAAAAAGCCATAAAAGAATTCAATAAAACTTGTAAAATGAAATAATGAAAATGTTCGAAAACTGTTAAAAATTCAAAAGTGTTTAAAGCTGATTATTCTTTAGAATCGAGTTAAATAATTTTTACAACTTGAATCGAATAATAAACTTGTAAACAAAACTATATTTTGTCTAATCATTCAAGTCAACTCTTTGAAACTTTGATTGCAAGTCTTGATCAAAATTGTTTTAATAATAAAAAAAAAAAATCTATCATTTAGCGATGCAGCAATATAATTGAATAAATTTAAAATAAATTATAGTAAAAGCTTTTAAAAGCTGCATTCAATTAACAATTTGGTAAGTCGTATTGAGTATTTGAAATAATTTGATCAAAAACAACAATCGTGTTATCCATAAATAAGAATGTACATGCAATCAATATCGCTACAGGGAAAACACATGATTCTTGATACTGGAAATGTAATTTAAAAAATTGTTTCCGAAGGATAATGAACAAGAGGTGTCACAAAAAAGAGATTTTTGTAACAAAGTAAATTTGTAATTTGTAATAAAATACCATCAATTTAGGAGTTACCTAAGGAAGAATGCTAGGGCCTCTTAAACAAATGAGTAATCGATGCTTACAAAAAGCTGTATTGGTTAACTAATAATTTGGTAACAAAAATTTAATATACATATAAGAATTCTGAATTCACACACAAAATCAGTTCATAGTGTTATTTATAGAGCAAAGGAATCTCTGGTGGAATATTTATTAAATTGTCATAATATAAATTACTTTCAATGTCTTTGATACATACGAGAAGTACAAACTTTTATCTTTTATATTGATTTAAAACATTCATAAAATTTTAATTCATAAGTAAATTAAAAAAACTGAATCAACATGTTTTCCCCATAACAAATTAAATAAGAATTAGTCTTTTACACATATGTCTGCCAAATTAATTTAAAATCTTTTATTCATATAATAATTGTAGTTGAATAAACAAAAAAAGAATTGTATTTTACGCATTAAAAAAAGCTACAAATTAATAAAGTTTACCAAGTTTAACTCATTAGAAAGTTATATTGACTTAAATATAATAATATAAACAATATTTTCAGCAGATATATGTACATAATTATATGAATGATGCACGAGCCAGAAAGTATTTCATAAAATATATACAGACTGCTTATCGGATATCAGATAAATAAAGGACAAGATATCAAAGGACTTTCCAATTTACTTTTTCATACAATATTCATTCATATATTAATTCAATATAACCAGCAGTAGATGTAAATAATATCAAAAACAATAATATCTAACACGATTTGAGAATTGAGCAAAACCCTAATAAAATATAAAATATAGTAAAACCTATGAAAATCAAATTTCATTTAATCTAAAATCGCCTTGCAATAGCTCAATAAAAGTGATGAAACTAATGCAAAACATAACTAATTTAATATTTATTATTTGAGCCCATACATTCTATCAAAAAAAATCTAGCCTTATCCGAACAATTAGTCAATCAGCCTTAAACAAAGATCCTTTAAATAAATATATATAAATATCTTTTAACTAAAAGCAAGATCGCAAATATAATTCTTTTGCAAAAAATAATGCACAGATCTGGAGGTAGTACAGAAAACTGCTCAGAAGATGAGAATATATTGAAAAAAAAAAATGATCGTATTGAATAGCGCTTCCTTGTTAATTATGACTAAATCATATTATTCATGATATCTATATTACTTCTTTAAAAAAATTAATAAATAAAACAATATTTAGTAA